CCCAAATGCTTGTGTCCTATGACATTCTTGTGATGGCAGATGGGATAAATGGAGGCTGCAAAGGACCCTGAGACCTGCTGTGTATCAGGTAGATTCATCTTCAGTGAGCTGTGGGGTGCTCCCAGGTTTCATGACAAACAGATTAAAACTGGGTCATGTGGCTCTCATAGGTGAACACAGTGGGCAAGCTACAGATTTGGCCTTGAGTGTGGCCCCGTGTAGGTGCAGCTGGTGAGGGCTGCTTGGGGTACTTGAGACTGGACTGTCCTATGTCCCCCCTGCATGAAGGGCTATATACGATACCTTCCACGAGCTGGCAGTGGTACTTGCTGTAGTTCCCCACAGAATGCAGATGCAGCCGGTTACCGTGCTGTGTCCGAAAGAAGCTTTTGACAAAGAATATCTCATAAGGGGGAATGAGGACTTCCTTCTCTCATGTATAGTAAGAAAAGCCTTGCACAGCTGCTCCCAGGCAGGTGGTCACTGTGAACAAAGTTTCATTCCCAAACTTCTGGGCTTCATTCAAGAGGCGGGAGGTAGAGGTGAAACGACCAAATCTCACCCTGCTGCCTACCATGGCCTCAATATATAAGTTTTTTACACCCCTGTGCACCCGGTAGCACTTACGTTTTCCCATGCTCTCCTTGCTGTTCTGCCATTGCTTCATTATCTGGATAGCAGTCGTTAGGTAAAAGTGAAAATATTTGAAACTGAAGTTGTGTCTGTAGTGCTCTGGAGAGCTTCCTGCTGTAGATGTGGCCCAGTTCAGCTGAGAGTGGAGAGAAGGGTTCATGGTGTAAGCCATGAGGACTATGGCATGGCTCTCTTGCATCTCCCTCAAGAGACCTACAGGGCTCTTCAACAAAGCCTCCTGAGCCTTCTTCCAGAGACTCAAATAGTCCTTGTTAGCAGCTATTTCCTTTTCGAAATAGTCTCCTCGCTCCAGTTCTTCCATCACCTGCTCTCTGCACCCCAAATACTGGTCATCAAAGGAATGCAGAGCCATATCCATCATGAGGTGGGACACAGCCTGCAACATAAAAGCAAACAAAGTGTGCATAAAAGCATCAGAAGAGTGAACTTTTTGTGTATCTCTATGGATGCTAGTCAGGTTTTCCCCTACCGGCTTCTTGCTTCTTTGTCATTATTGGCAGAGCAAGCACAGGAGGTAGGCATCTTTGACAAGACCTTCCTAAGCAACCTGAGGTTATTGTGCAAGCCCCACCTCAGACAAATGCCAGCCAGGATGCCGGAGTTCTTATTTTATGTGGATTAAAAACTTCAGAAGAGTTTGCCTTTTAGAGGGTGAGGGTATAGAGCCTGCAGGACAGACCCACGGTCCATTTGTTTCAATATTCTGCTCATGATTAGTAAGTGGTTTTGAAGAGAGAAAGAATAAGCAAAACAATGTGCTTGGCGCGGTGCAGCCTGAACACATCTTAGGGGTGAATTTCTTCTTCCTGTCTTGTCATACCTCTTGGACATGTTTTGGCTCCAGACAATGATGTTCAGTAGTATAATATAGTAGCACTGTGCCAAAACTTTCATTCATCCAGTTTGCCTTAGTGAAGCCAGCTGGGCTTGTCATGTAAATAAGTATTAAACACATGAGTAAGGATTTACACAAATGGGTGCTATAACAGGAAAATAACTTCTAATATATCCTGTCTATGAAATGGCACATTAATTATCTGTTTCTAGCATTTCTAATTAATAAAAACCTTGTGTAATAAGACCTAAGAAATGGTGTGAGTTATGACATTGTTCTTTTTGCTTTTTGATCTCCTAGTAGACTAGTCAAGTACTGTAGTCAGTTGATAGTTAGTTGAATTCTACAAGTAGATATTCACTCCATCTCAAATATTCAACCTAGACACATAACTAAATTGATACCTTTATTAGCCTCTGAAGTTATACTGGCCCATAAACTACACAGGGATTCGGTTTCTTTCTCCATGATACCAGAATTGCTTTGAGAGAAAGCTAAAAGGCAGTCACAAATAATAGAGCAATATTGTCACTGTCCTATCCAACAACACACTGCTTTTGTCAGAGCCTCAACTAAGACAGGCTGGAAAATAAGAGGAACAATTCCACGAGAACTACCCACAAACACACCCGGGGAAACCATCTGGCCCCAAAGGAGAGGAAATTTCCAACCAAGTAGTTAAAAGGAATTAGGACAAGTAAGAAATGGAACAGAGCAACGGAAAGCAGAAGAGCTTAAGCTGAACCCAGAGCCCCTTAAAGAACATGTTTCAAATGAAAAAAACAAAAACAAAGTTTCTTTCAGTAGGATGAGCAATTTCACCATTTCAAATAAAGAACAATGTTTATCCCCTCTTACCAGCCTTTGCAAGGAGATCAGCAACAAAAGGCTGGCCAGCAGCACTGGCATCCTAGAGTCCACCCAAGACACTGTAAAGAACATTGAGCTCAAGCAGAGGTCATTTACATCTGTTTCTTTCCCTTTTTTCTTGAACTGGAAAATTCTGCAGTTTGTAATTTGCACACAGGTTTTGGTGACGATTCTTCAACCAAAGATCATTCACCAGATTCTTACAGCAATTCAGAGGTTGTTAATCAAACCAAACAGACAATTTACTGGTAGAAGTGTGCCCACAATCCATAAGGAAGCAACTGATTGCGCCAACTCCAGCTGGTGTAGATGTTCTTCACCTTGATAGTTCTCTTAATTCCGAGGTATCTGGTAGTGGTGTTCTTGCAAAAAGGAAGAAAACTCTGGCTTGGAGAAGCCTAAGGCAGTCCTCTCCTGAGGAGCGATGTGTCAGGATGAGGTGGAGAGCGCTCCCTGGTCAAGAGCTTAAAACAGCCTTTTAAAGAAGTGCAGAGCTCTGATAAAGCCAACACAGAAATGCAGGGTAGGTTGGGATCCCATCTGGAAGCACAGATAACGTAACTGTCCTTCTCCTCCTTAGCTCCCCCTGGTTTCTAATAACATGCTGCCAATCTTACCCTTACACCACTGCAGAGTGGCACCTTGTTGAGCTGTTTATATTGGGTACACTTGAAATGAGTGTGTAAATACAGATTCTATGCTGAGACTAAGCCCTCTCTAGTAGCTGCTTTCATAGAATAGAATCATAGAATCATTAAGGTTGAAAAAGACCTCTAAGATCATCGAGTCCAACCGTCATCCCAACACCACCATGCCCACTAAACCATGTTCCCTAAGCGCCTCATCTACACGTCTTTTAAATACTTCCAGGGATGGTGACTCAACCACTTCCATTCCAGTCACCCTTCCAAATAACAGCAGTGAGTTACTCACCTGCGAAGCCCCATGGCCTCTGATAACTCTTCTGCACAGAAAAAGAGCCAAAAGGAGGAGTCAGGGCCTCATTCTGACTACAGAGAAGTGAAGTCCATTTTCCATTGCCTGCCAGTGGTAGGCTGGGTAAGGAGGGCACCTGCAGGCATGGTGTGATTCCCTGAGAAAAGAGACATTTGTGCAGCTGCTTGGATTCTGTGGACAGAGAGCATTTGCCAAATATTGCTGAAATAAGGTGAGAGATGACATAAAGGTCTCATACTGGGTTGCTTTTAAAGTGATCTATAACACTGCACCAGATGGTGCTGCTGACAGTGTCTGCAGCCACTGATGATACGAGATGATGACAAGAAGAATGGTGCGAAGTGATAAATGCAGGCTATCTACTTCTCCTTCTTGGAATTGTTCTATTATCTTGGCCTTAATTTCAGAAAGCAGTTCTTCGACTACAAAAAGTGAGTCCAGAGAAGGGGTTCTGAATCTATTCAGAAGCATCTCCTCTCCTGTTCATGTAGAGATAAAAAGGAGCTAAACTGTGACAGGCTCCAGCAGGAACTTGACAATCAGGATAAACAGCCCCACTAGAATGCCAATTCAGTTGCATATAATCCAGTTGCAGATTATATCCCTTGCCTATTTTTCCCTTCTGGCCTCTTAATGTATGTTGTAGTATGAAATGAATGAGGAAGAAAGCCCACTGGATTTACATTTCCAAATGCTTCAAAAGCAACGTAGTGTACGATTTATCACATGGCGATAAATACAACGGCCATAAGATGGCAGCAGAGGATTTGTAGTGGTACTTAAAGCTGCATTGATCAGGTGAAAATCGAGCTCCATTCCAGCAGTAAATTTGTAATCTGATTTGTGCACTCAGCTCCCCAAAGGCTGTAATGACTTCAGCCCATATAGAGATCTGGTGACACGGAGCAGATGACATGATCAAGGCCTTTGTGTGTAACTTTCCAGAAAAAACGTTTACTGAAAGGGAGAGAAAAATACAGAACTAACAGAATGATGCAAATATAGACAGGAAGCTTGATTTTCTTTTTTAGCAAACAAAACCATACAACAACAACAAACCCCCTAACTTGTTAGTACAGCAGATATTAGGATTTCACTAATCTCTCTAGAGTTTTTCCCAGCAAAATTTTCACTGCTTTCAATGCACACTTCGTTCATTTTTACTAGATGGCGTTCAGAGGAGAATTTTGCTGTGAGCAGTGAAGCCCTGTCTGTTTATGCCAATAGAGGAACCACTCCCAGGTGTTTGACCAAGACAAGCAGAGGTACTTATTAGCTGTTTTATCCTCGGCCAAGGTCAGCATAAGCTAGTGCAAGTCATAGCAGCTTGCCAAATAAGAGATGTTCACACTCACACTGGCAGCCATCTCTGTGGACTTATCCCGTGTCCTTACTTCAGGGCAAGGTCTTTCAGAGAAATGCTGAACTCGGTAGATGGTGAATCGGGAAAAGCCTGGCCCTCCTCTCCCTCACTGTCACGGTGTACTGGGATTGTGACCTGGATTTCAATGTAGTCACTTCTGATTCACACTGGGGCACAGGAGGAGAGAAGGAAGCCTCACGCGCCTGGATTCTGCTCTTCAGGGTTCATAGGAGCAGGCTTTATCTTCTGGGCATCCCTAACCACAGACAAAGGTTGTGCAGAGGAACAGAGAGAAACAGCACACCAACCTGTTTTACATAAGCAGTATTTATTGCAGTCAGCAGCTGGGAATGGCTGCACCAGCCTACATGCAACCAGAGAGAGTCTCCTGAGGGTCATCAGTCCCTGTCCTTCAAGATGGGATCTGCCATCTACCTCTCAGGGAAGGAAAGCTGACAGATAACATCAAGGGAGGTTGTGCAGAAAGTTGCTAAGGTGTAATATTCATACAAGGGAACAGATGAAGTAGTGCAGAGGGAAGAGGATATTATATAAATACATACACTTTATATATATATATATTTTTATATATATATATATCTATGAGAAAGATACAAGCTGCCTTGAATAAACCAAATGCTGACCCAACTTCAATCCATCCTTGAACCAATTTTCTTTTTATTTCATAAAGTTTATTGCTTTTTGTTTGTTTGCTTGCTTTTTTTGGAGCTGTTTAGACACTTCTAGTTTCAAGTATACATACTAAAGCATCAGAGAGGAATGTTTTTGTTCTGCCTGGGTATATTCAGTTTCACCAGAAACCAATAGTAACAAAAATAACAACAGCTTTCCAAGTTACTTTTTACAGGCAGTCACTGAACGCAGCATATAAATGGAAGGGCTCATCCATAAAAGGACTCCTCAAACACACCTTTGGGGATTTATCTGTTGTTGCTGTACAGGCAAGTTTTGTGACAGAATAATCAGAAAAGTGTACCAGAAACTGATTTCTGGCTATGTAACAGTATTTCCACACTTCTATCCTTGCAAAATGATCCTACATCAGCACGTATTTAGGGTGACTATTCTACTTGAAAATACTGAACTTTCCTAGTCATTGTACCAGGAGGCAGCCGTTCCACCTTCTTCCCAGTGAGTATCCCAGGATCAGATCCATCACACTTACACATGTTGTGACATTCTCCTTCTATAATCCTCATGCATTTTGCAGAAGAAGACAAAACATCTTGTTATGTTTCTAGGATATACATTGATTTTCTTGAAAGGGATCACAATTTTTTCACCTATTGTGTCCTGGGGATTCAAATGGAAGGAGGTCAGACAGAGTCTTCTCAGCCATTTCTGGTGAAGCTCAAAATACCACAAAAGACGACTGAAGAGAAAGATTTTTGATGAAAGGAAGAAAGCTAATGCAAGATCAACAATAATTATTGCCTTGGTGTTTTGAAGAAGACCCCAATCTAGATGTTTTTCTTCCCTCCTTCCCACCCACAACCTTCTTTCTCCTGGGGGGTTCAGAGTGGTCCCAAGCAAAATGAACGAAGTGACCATCCCGTCCTTAGTATCTCCCAAAGAAACGGTTGTAGGCCATGGAAAATCCTATTTGGTCAGAGAGATAGTCACAGGGGGGGTAGTTTTCACAACGCTCATGCATCTGCTCCATTGGACTTTTGTAATACTCGAAGTACCTGGAGTAGACAAAGAGAGAGACACCATTCTGCAGATTTTTGATGATGCAGTTGGAGACGTTTCACACCCATGATACTAACATGAGAAGAGTGATTCCCCAGGGTGCCCCAACAGGAGACTTCTTGTGGTGAGTTAAACATCTGTTTACACAGGGATGGACTACTTAATTAATGCTGGAAAAAGTTGGACTTGAACCCAACTTAAAGCAATTGCTCCTGAGGTTTTATCAGCAAAGGAGACCACAGAAGCAGTTAGGGGTTTTTTTGTCCCCAACCCAGTTCCCCAACTACCCAGGAATCTTTGTTGTTGTTATTTATTTTATTTTTTATTTAATTATTTCCTGCTTACCTTTATTTAGCTCCCAGTTTCTGCTCACTTTCTCGCTAGCCACTATTTTCCTTTAGCTTAAGGAGTTTCCTCTCATCATCCTCACTTCTATTGTTGACAGCAATACTATCCCCACTCAGCTTTTGTTTTGCCAGGCTAAGCAAGCCCAAATCTTCTAGTCTCAGCTACACTCTGGATGCACTTCTCAACTCCTGTTCCAGGTTTGGTTAATCTTTCCTGCTACAGGAGAAGTCCCACCAGTATCTCATGAATTTCTTTATTTCTGTATTGGAAAAACCCTGCAGCACCCTTGAATTCCATTTGTTGCATCCATATTTCCCGACTAACCTTACCTCATGATCAAATAATACACCAAGCTGCCTGTCTACCTCAGTCCTTACTGATTAATGCTTACAGCAGAAGCTACTTTTACAATGCAGAACCTGTAAGGGGGTAGTCAGGACAGTCAGTACAGTTGCTACTTGTGAATTTCATCTTGTTTTTAATCACTGCAAGTTTCAACATCAGCCAGTTCCTCTGCTACAATAGTCCGATCCTCTCCTCCGCAGATGGAGCCTCCCAATCTTCTATTATTTAAAATCAACATTATCCTTCTAGTCCAAAGAAGGATTGAATAAAAATTCTTTATGCTACAGGCCTACGTGAGACAATGGCTTAACAAACTCTTCCAGGAAATAGATCAGTAACATTCTTGGATGACCTCAAATTTCTCCAAATGTTTATAGCTGGGATTTCTCCAAATCTTCATGCCTAGGATTTCTGCACAAATGGATGTAGGTTCTACAGCTTCAGAAAGAACATCCAATCTGATCTAACCTCAACCCTGCAACAGAGCTGTGCTTCCTTTGTAGGAAGCCAGAGGCAATGGCCAAGGCTCTGTGATGCTCATTATCCTGGAAATCGGTTCTGATGACCCTGCAGGTTAGAGCAGCTTCTAACTTGTATCCTGCTGTCCCCATGGCTAGCCCAGACAGCTAGTACTGTCTTCCTGAGAGTAATAAAAGAGTCCAGCTATGAGCTCGCAAAAGGATATTTACAAAAAAAAGAACCATTTATCTATCAATGAGTGTCTCCTACAACCTTTTTGCTTCTACACATGAAAGTAATAACAAAAATGTACAACAAATGAATGCCTCATTATGTCCTGTTTCCTTCCCACCCCCTCTTCAGAACTGGTCCACAGTCCAGCTCTCAGCCTGACTCCTGAGTTGTTACCGTTCATACAGGCTGGATCTCTTCTGCCTCTTCACAAAGGCATTGGCAACTTCCTTTTTAATCTTGATGCCTACCAAGAGAGTACACAGCAGGTTAGAGATGCAGGGCCATGGTCTATACAAAACAAAGACCAGTCTAACCTCTGAAAAGGGACAGTACTCTCTTCACAATCAGATGACTGTCATGCCCCATCCTAATTGCCTGTTCATCTCTCCCCACTCCATGGTCCACTCGAAGCTCAACAGCTGGGTTCCTTCCTCACTCCAACCTGCACATCTACATGGAGCAAGGGCCTTTTCTGTCATAAACGCTATTCCCTTATCACACAGCATGATCTGAGTCCACAGCAAATGTGCAGAAGGCAAAGTCATGACAGCATAAAATACAAATAAGGAGAAAATGAAGGGAATGGCACCCTCTCTCCCTGGCCCACTTAACTTCAGGGTCTTGGCTTCCTTTCTATATTTTGACTCAGACTGAGAGTGTTGTGAGATACCAACCACCAGGCCTTAAAATGCCTCTAATGAGCCATAAGCAGCAGGTGGAAATACCAATGCTCCCATGTGCAGAGATCCATGAAAGGTGAAGGGTATAAAATAATGAGAGTAAACATCACCCAGAGAGAAATACACCCAGTAGGTGCAAAGATCCTGGTGTTCAGGCACCTGGAGAACATGAGAGGTCTTTCTGCCATGACAGCAGTATCCCCTGGTCTCCACTGACACACCACGTCAGCGCAGTTGCTTATTTGTTCCCTTGGATTTGTGGTTGTGCAAACACTGGGGTGCTGTGGAGCAGCAGGTAGAGCCACTTTGCCCCCCACTCCCAGCCAGGGCACAGCACAGCACAGCCTCGCTCCATGGGACAGACCCACACCAGCAGAGGTGTGCATGGATGCCAGCACACCAGCAACACAGGGAGCTGCACACCAATATATGTCTCAGCAGAGAAACTGGCAAACTGTCGCTGTCAGTAGGGGAACACAGTTTCCAAGTCCTCTGTCTGTAGGGAGACAGTGGCTTTTGTGCCCTTTCCTCGTCATCGTGGGGTGTTTGACCGTGTTTCTCTTTGGCAGGTGAGAGGTGCCTCCTGTCTAGCAATCTGGGGTTTAGTCTGGATCAAAATACTGATTACACAGATGCCAATTAATGTGCTGTCAGAAATCACCACCTTTCCCTGAACACTCTCTGCATTTTTTTTCTCTTTCCCAATCTGTGTTTGCATTGGCTCACTGGAGAAATACCAGCATTCATGCTCCCCAGCAGCAATGTTATCCTTTAAGGTGTGAGAAAGGAGAGACAGGGAAGAATGAGGGGGATTTTCCATAGATTTCTGCCAGGATCAGCTTGCTGCAAAAGCTGTGGACTTTCCAAGGTGTGCAAATCCCCATGTCCCAGGCAACCTGACAGAGGAGGGACTGTAGCCCTCAGGAGCAGCCAAGGAAGGCACTTGCTTTCAGGCTCTCCAGGTTGTGGGATTTGGCAGGGATGTCACAGCCTGTTGCTGTGTGGCGCCAAACCTTTCTGCTCTGTGATCCTGTGCACCAGACTGGCTGCTCAGCAGATCCAAAAGACCAGTGCAGTCACTTTGGATAGGTCTCTGAGGCCAGCTCAGAGAAGCCGGGATGCTGGCCGTGTTGCTCCACTCACATCACCTTGTTTCACAGAGGGCAGATGCATCCAGATGCTAACAACCTGCAGGACTCACATCTTGCCTGGGGGCTGCTCAAGGGTTGTGGAGATGCAGGCTATGGCACTAGCACACCCGGAGAGATGCCAGGCTGCCAGTGCAGGGAGGCTGACCTCCCTGGTGTCTCCTGCCCCCATGGCTGTGAAAGGCAGCCCTTCTGTTTGCTGCAGGTGCTCCTGCACCTCAGGGACTGCAGTGCTGAGGGAGCAAACAGGGAGCAGCTAGAGGGACTCAGCATGGTTCTTGTTCATCCCTTGAACCTATCAAAGGGAAGAAAGGAAGTAGATGCAGGAGAACGGAGCTGAGCATCAGTCACAACAATATACTCACTGGCAGCGCTGGGAGATCCTGCGGGGTCTTTGGGATCTGGAAGACAGACAGACAGACAGACAGACAGACAGACAGACAGACAGAGAGGAGTTTGCTTGTGAGTCGTCCTCCTCTGCTCCACCCTAACTGAATCCCTCTGCTTACTGGGTGGATCCAGCTGCCCCCCTTTCTCAGAAAGACTTTTCTTCCCAAAGAAGGGTTTTATTAACACCCACCATTTAGGGATAGACTTCTTCACCACGGCAAAATTCACCCATTATGCCTGGATTTGTTTAATTTCAACTTCCTCTGAGTCAGATTAAATGACACAATAACCATATAACCACTGTGGAAGCTGGAGGAAGACCTTCCTCCTTCTCCCTCCCCACCCTTGCTAAGAGTAGAGACAGCTAGAGCTAGGGGACCATTTGAGCAAAACCCCAAATTTGGACAGAACCTGAAGATAGCTGAGCATCTCCTCTATCTTTGGAAAGAGAGGTTTCCTTAACTCTAGGGAGAAATCACAAACTATTGATAGGGAAGGAAAATAGAGCTGAAAATTAGGAACAACTCTACCCTCACGGCTTTGTGGCTCAGGGTTGAGGTACCTGGCTCACCAGCCCTCTCAGGAGGAAGTTACACACTATATTTCTGTGTTCAGTCCTAATCTTAATCCTTAATCCTTAATGCTCCCTGCAAACACCCAAGGAAAGCATCCTCTGAGAGAAATGGTAGGTCTTCTAATCCTGGCTCTCCCACACTGCCCCATTTCACATTTTTTTCTTCCACTATTTCACCATATTTTTCTTCTACAATGTCAGTTCCACCCAAGTCACCAGGTATTTGGCATAAGTGTATTTATGGGTAGAAAGAGGACTCTAGAGACCAAAAAAATAACAACTGTGCTTAAACAAATACTTTGTGTGAAAAGGGTTGTGTGTAGTTCTATTTTTAAGCTATGTATACATTCCTTGGATTTAAAAAAAAAATAAATTAGAAGTTACTCCAAGGCCATTAAGCAATCTGGAATAATAATAATGACTAAAAAAAAGTAGATACATACTCAAGAATGAAAAAGTGAGAGAGAGACTGACAGATCAAACAGAATATATTTGCCAGTATTGAATCATGACATATCTGATGCCAAGGACTGAATGAAATTTAATGCTGAATGAGATAATACAAGAAAAGACAGGGCCCTCTTCTGCTCAGCTTCTCTTTTTCTGCTGTAAAGAGAAAACACTTGTTTTTCTGATCTTTCCCCCCTTCTCTCTCTATCAACTACAGAGCTGCCACTACATTACTGTCTCTTGATCATAAAGTCACCATGGCTAAATCACCTTCAAATGTGATGTGCTCTTATTTCAATGGGACAACTCCCTTTTTTTTTAACCACCAACAGGAGGCTTTTTTTCTGCCAGAAGTTCTCCACATACCTCCCTGCAGGTGAAGGCTTGACTCGGTGCCTATCTCTGTGATCCTACAGCACTCCAGGGCTGGCAGGCACAAAATCCCTCTCCCTGTGGTGGACACAAATCTGCCTGCAGCTCAACCCTCTTACTCAAAAGTGAGCATCCAGCATACCTTTGCCAGTTCACCTAAACTCTAAACTGGTTAAATGCTTAAACATATTAAAATGTTCGAATTCTCTACTGGAATTCAGTGGTGCAACTGGAGGGGTGGGGGGCTGACTAGTGGAAGAAAGTGCCCGGCATGAGGCTCTCTATCCCCAAGCCCTCTCTCATCCATGACTCTGTCTCTCAGACAGAGATCTGAAGTTGTGCAATGACCGGCAGTGCACCTCCTCCCCCCGAAGCTGTGCACCTCTCCCAAACTGACGGGAGGCTGACGGCAAGCTGCAGGGTTGAGCAGCGCTCCAGGGAGCCCTCCCAGGAAGACGTCCCCTTACCTTTCTCACAACAGCAGAGCACTGCCAGGGCCAGAGTCACGATCAGCGGTGCCAGCAGACTCCTCATGTCTTCTTTGGCTGCGCTAGTCTCCCTAACCTCAGAGCTTTCCTGGAGGTTACTGAAGTTCTCCGGAGCTTGCTTTCGGGCAGCAGTTTATATCCTGTGATTGCCTGGAGAGATCGGGGCTCTGGCTTGTGTTCCCATGTTTGAGCTCCAAAACAAAGCCTGTCCTTTGAGCCAGGAGATATCAGGTCCTGGCAGCAATTTTGATATCCATCTCAGGACTCATGGCATTTCCAGAAGACTTTATCTGAGGTTTTGAATGGGACTATTGAAGAAAAACAACTGGATAAAAAAAACACTTTTATTATAAACATGAAAATCATTCAGTTTCTTGCCGGAAAGCCAGGCGAGAGACCAGCACACCCTGAAGTAAAGCAGCTCCTTTCGTGTGATGGAACTCTCTCATGTGGAAAATCAAATGAGACTTAACCCAATGGTGACCCTTTTCCCCCACCCCACCCTGACCCATTCCTCTGAAAGTAAACTCACTCATGAAACAGTTTGCATAGGGCAAACACAGATTTTCGCTTCAGACAGTTTCACCAAACCACTTCAGAGAGCTGAGATTTTTATACTGTGGGGTTCTTTGGTAGTTAGTTTGGGGGAGGGTCTTTCTTTTTTCTTCCTGGAAATCTTCCTGGTATGGAGGCTATTAGTTTGGCTTCTCTTGTCTAAAAATCAAATAAACCTTGAAACTCCAAAAGTGTTTTATTCTTCAGGACTTGAGTGGCTGTGGTTGCTTGGTATGTCAAGAGCTCTGCATGGGATCTTCTACAGCCTATTTACCAATAACCCCATACTCCCCAAACCCACCAGCCAAGTTCCCCAAGCCACGTCCCAAACACAGCACATGGATCACATTTTCCTCCACCTCACATCCAGTCCTCCTCAGCCTTACATGCAGGGGAGATATCCAAGGGTTACAGCATTAAAGCCTAAAAGGCTCCCAAGGGCAGTCAGAGCCATTAGGGATTGTGCCAATCCCCAGAAACACTGTCTTTTAGCTTAAAGAAATTTAAGGATTTTTAAAAAAAAAAAAAAAGTTTAACTCTTCTACAGTCCAGGAAAGACTGAATATATATACTAACAACTTCCAGCAAAAGTATCTTAAAAAGCAACAGTTTAAAAATAAAAAAATATCTAAAAATAATAGGTAGGTATTCTAGGAAAGTTATGCTTCCAAAAGAAAACTTGAAAGAATATAAATATACAATTCTAGTAATCCAAACAGCTTTACCTCTCTTCCCAACTTTTCCCAAGGTTTCTAACCAGCATGTAGTCTCTTAAACGTGTTTGGTTATTGCTTACACTAACAAAATCCCACAGAAATCTCTGGTATTATTCATTATTTATACTGGTAAACCAGAGGTTGGAATCACCAGATATTTCTGGACACAGACTCAGACAGCACTAGCCCTGTACCTTCCATTTTGATAGCATCACAGTGACAAGTCAAACCCAGACACTGCAGACTTGTTGACTTTAGGTTATGAAAGTTTTGCCCTGGTTCGTGATCATAAGATTCACCTACTTGGGAACATGCAGAACAACTGTGGGTATAAATATACCTAATCCATATGGCTTTTTTTCCTTAAACTCATTTATCTCTCACTTCTTCCTTTGGCAAAACTTTAGCAGCTGTCAGGGTGAAGTTTCCTATCATCAGAAGTGTTTTCAATAAATAAATCACATTTCTTTCCAGAAGTTCATCTTCAAAGCTGGCAAAGCCTTGAAGCATATTTTGCAAGAAGATGCATGTTTCTAATATGGCAGGTAGATTTGGCTCTAGGCTTAATTTCACAGAATAGTCAACAATTTGATACTTTATAACTCATAGCCTTTGATAGCGTGCCATGAATCTTTCCCACTTTCATAATTTGCAGGTGCCTGTGGAAGCCTGCAGATGTGAATATTGAAACCAGCTGTGCTAAGCTGAGATAGAAGATGCTGTGTCTCCTACACACCCCACACCAAGGGGTCTCCAAGCTGCTGTGGCTGCTGACCAGCCCGGAGTAGTATTGAATTCTTGGGCATGTCAGCACTGGTGCTTCTTGTCCTGGGGACAGGCCCTGCAAGGTGCACTGGTGCCGGTGACAACCCAACAGCGGTCATGCTCACTCCTCAGTGGGCTGGGAGGTGCTCAGCAACCTGTGCACAGGGTCAGGCCACATCTTTGTTTCAAATGAGTTATGAACAGTAAAATAAACCTTGAAACTCCAAAAGTGTTTTATTCTTCAGGACTTGAGTGGCTGTGGTTGCTTGGTATGTCAAGAGCTCTGCATGGGATCTTCTACAGCCTATTTACCAATAACCCCATACTCCCCAAACCCACCAGCCAAGTTCCCCAAGCCACGTCCCAAACACAGCACATGGATCACATTTTCCTCCACCTCACATCCAGTCCTCCTCAGCCTTACATGCAGGGGAGATATCCAAGGGTTACAGCATTAAAGCCTAAAAGGCTCCCAAGGGCAGTCAGAGCCATTAGGGATTGTGCCAATCCCCAGAAACACTGTCTTTTAGCTTAAAGAAATTTAAGGATTTTTAAAAAAAAAAAAAAAAGTTTAACTCTTCTACAGTCCAGGAAAGACTGAATATATATACTAACAACTTCCAGCAAAAGTATCTTAAAAAGCAACAGTTTAAAAATAAAAAAATATCTAAAAATAATAGGTATTCTAGGAAAGTTATGCTTCCAAAAGAAAACTTGAAAGAATATAAATATACAATTCTAGTAATCCAAACAGCTTTACCTCTCTTCCCAACTTTTCCCAAGGTTTCTAACCAGCATGTAGTCTCTTAAACGTGTTTGGTTATTGCTTACACTAACAAAATCCCACAGAAATCTCTGGTATTATTCATTATTTATACTGGTAAACCAGAGGTTGGAATCACCAGATATTTCTGGACACAGACTCAGACAGCACTAGCCCTGTACCTTCCATTTTGATAGCATCACAGTGACAAGTCAAACCCAGACACTGCAGACTTGTTGACTTTAGGTTATGAAAGTTTTGCCCTGCTTCGTGATCATAAGATTCACCTACTTGGGAACATGCAGAACAACTGTGGGTATAAATATACCTAATCCATATGGCTTTTTTTCCTTAAACTCATTTATCTCTCACTTCTTCCTTTGGCAAAACTTTAGCAGCTGTCAGGGTGAAGTTTCCTATCATCAGAAGTGTTTTCAATAAATAAATCACATTTCTTTCCAGAAGTTCATCTTCAAAGCTGGCAAAGCCTTGAAGCATATTTTGCAAGAAGATGCATGTTTCTAATATGGCAGGTAGATTTGGCTCTAGGCTTAATTTCACAGAATAGTCAACAATTTGATACTTTATAACTCATAGCCTTTGATAGCGTGCCATGAATCTTTCCCACTTTCATAATTTGCAGGTGCCTGTGGAAGCCTGCAGATGTGAATATTGAAACCAGCTGTGCTAAGCTGAGATAGAAGATGCTGTGTCTCCTACACACCCCACACCAAGGGGTCTCCAAGCTGCTGTGGCTGCTGACCAGCCCGGAGTAGTATTGAATTCTTGGGCATGTCAGCACTGGTGCTTCTTGTCCTGGGGACAGGCCCTGCAAGGTGCACTGGTGCCGGTGACAACCCAACAGCGGTCATGCTCACTCCTCAGTGGGCTGGGAGGTGCTCAGCAACCTGTGCACAGGGTCAGGCCACATCTTTGTTTCAAATGAGTTATGAACAGTAAAATAAAATTGTTCTAGGTGAACAAAGTTGGGCTTAACTCCAAACACTGGGTTTCTTTTATTTTTTTTATTTACCACCTAGAGCCCCTCTTCACCTTTGGTTTCTGCAGCTTTCTAGCACTACCAGAATCATTCCAAGTGGAATTAAGGGCATGAAAGGGGATTCCAAAAGGAAATACTAGTGAAGTCCGGATCACACACTCCTTTCTACAGGAGCACCCTACATCAGGACCTGAGGGTAGCTGGATAGACAAGATGCAATTTACAGGCTTTTTCTGTCACTAACTCTTGCCCTAACTTTGTTTTTAAGATTGAACAGGCGCCTTTTGAATTTTGTTTCCCCAACTGAGGAAAGATATTATAGATTTCTTCTTCAAAAGTGCATCTCACCCTGCTTTCTGAACACCACGCCATTTTAAGATGTCTTCAGACTGAGAACTGAAATTTGCCAGTGACCTCTAAACGAAGCCACTTGTAGACCCTGGAACAAAAACATTGTAGATCCTTTCAAACTCGTGTGATTGCAAGGTAGTGACTTTTTTCTGTAATCCGCACCAGATTCTATGATAAACAAACTCAGCTTCTTCATGGAAAATTGCACACACCCCCAAAATACTGTGACTCATGAGAAGATAGTATCAAACCAGCAATTTATTGTGTAGTAAACACACACATCCTGAACTCTCTGTGATCTCTACTATATCAGCTCAGCGCTAATTAACACAGTGTAGGCGTCCATGGCTACATGGGAGAGAAGCAGCAGGCAGGATAACATACAGGGACACAAGCAACTGAATATGTTTCAGAGCCATTGCATTTTTTGGGAGGATACCCTGGGCTCCAGGCCCCAGGATGGGGACAGGTCATCCTTTACTTAGTCCTCCTCGTCCCAAAATAGTGCCTGTAAGCAGCAGCATAGCCATGGTGAAAAGCGTACAGTTCGCAGGGGTAATAGTCCTCACAGATCTCCCTCTGACGTTCCTGGGGCATCTTACTACGCTCTCTGATCCTGCAAAAGTAGGAGAAATGAGTGGTGAGTGCTGCCATCTTAAATATCTGTCTACAGCCTTTTCCTGCCCCACAATCCCCCACCAGGATTAAGGGTCCATCACCAGATTCCATCATCCACCTACCAAGATGTTAGCATATCACCTTCTGTGTTCACCACACCCAGGGGAGCAATGTGACTACAATAGGAGCATTCTGCCTCCCCGGTTAACCTTTTATTTCAGGGCTAAGTAGGGCGGTGGGGAGAGGGGGATGCCTCCTGCCTCAGCCTGAGGAAGAGTCCTCCCTCTGCAGCCCCCCAGCCTGCTGCCTTCAGCTCTTCTGCTCATCCCCAAAGCC